CTGTGACCTGCAAATGTCTCCAACAGTATTATTCCAAGGCCTGGGTTGGAACTAGCTGCTCTGCTGGCCTTTGTCAGTATCAAAGATGGAGATCTCCGGTGGTGGGAGAGGAGCTGCCTTCCCACATCGGCTCTGTGAGAAGGAGGGAGGATGTCAGGGTTTTACTCACGCCAGACTCTTGGTTTCTGGGGTCTGCGATCAGCAGACTACTCCTTGTAAGTTCTTGCTAATAGTGAGTAGAATCCACTCGCATGCTGTGTGTAGTGCCTTTGTTCCGGACTTGCCGTGGCTACCGGCAAGTGCTCAGATCTGTCTCCTTGACCAAGCTGCCTGGATTTTCCCTCTCTGGCCAAACTCTCTGTACTGTGATGGCACAGTTGGTGTGATTCTCTAGCATAGGACTGTTCACTGGAACACTAAAACTGCTTGTTTAGCCTCCAACTTCTCTGCTATCTTCTTCCGGTCTCTGCGTCTATCAATTTTTCTTCCCTCCCTCCCGTTCTCTGTCTCTCTCTCTCTCCCTCCCTCCCTCTTCCCTTCTTTCGTTCCTCCCTTCCTTCCTCCCTTCCTTCCTTCCTTCCTTCCTTCCTTCCTTCCTTCCTTCCTTCCTTCCTTCCTTCCTTCCTTCTTATTTTCCCTTCCTATCTAGTGTTAATACCACTATTTAAAATGTGGGCCATTTGCTTTGCTCAGATTTTTCACTAACATCTGGTACTGTACCACTTGAGCCATGCCTACTGTCTACATTTTTATTTGCTTGTTAATTAGAGATGAGTTTCTCATGTGCTTTTCTACCCAGGTGATCTCTGAACCACAATTCTCAGATCTTAACCTACTGAGTAGCTTGGATTACAGGTTTGAGCCACAGGTGCCTAGCTCATGATGAAGACTTGATTGTAGAAGGACTTCTACAAGGACTGAGCAAAAGAAAGCAAGAGAACATTTCCTCTGTGTGCTTTTGACCAATGCTGTCTAATGGCACTTTTTAAAATGTTCTAAAACTTGTCCATATGTGAGTATTTTAGCCTTTGTAATGTGATTAGTTTGATGGAGGCATTGAAAAATTACTTAAAAATTAATTTATATTTAACCTCCTCATTTTAGTTGAGGTTTGGAGATCTTATGTGTTAATTAGCTTTCAATACTTGTCACAAAGTATCTGAGGTAACCAATTTAGGTCACAGTTTCAAAGATTTCAGTACATTGTCAGCTGGCTCTGATTATTTGGGCCTATAGTGAGATAGAAAGTCATGAAGACAAGCATGTGTGGAGGAAGCTGCTCACCTCATGATGGCCAAAGGCAGTGAGAGAAGGTTTGGGGGGGTGCTGGGACACAGAGAGATGTACTGAGAAAGAGCAACAGGGGAAGGGAAGAAGGAAGGAAGGAAGGAAAGAAGGAAGGAAGGAAGGAAGGGAGGGAGGGAGAGAGAAGGGAGGGAAGAAGGGAGGGAAGAAGGGAGGAAGGGAGGGAGGCATTAAATAAGAAAGAAGGAAAGGAGGGAGGAAGAGAGGAAGAAAGAAGGGAGAAATGAAGGAAGGAAGAGTAAAAGGGAGGGATACAAGTCCTAATATTTCTACTAAGGTCATACCACCCGTGACCCAGGTCCTGTCACTCCCACTTTCCTCTGGGAACCAATCAGCTCATGCACTTTTGGGGAGAACATTTAAGATCTTAACCATTATACCTTAGAGCAGCGTCTTTATGACCTTAAGTAATTCAGTTCTACACTTTTGGCCACATTACTATTGGCTGCTCTGGATCATATTGAAGGATTCTTAGTGTTTCTAAATGAAATAATATTTCTTTATTAAAGGCGAAGACATAAATTTATAAGGTTATTTTTGGTGAACTGAACCGTGAAATGTCCTTCTAGTAGGTAAGAACAGAAATGTTAAATGACCTTAAGCTCATAGGACAGGTTTCACATTGGTCAGTATCCATCCCAAATGTTGACAGCAACCAATTTGATAAACCCAAGCAAGCTATTGGAAGACTCTTAAATATTGTTTCATTTGTGAGATTTGCAGCTTCAATCCTACCTAGTGTTAATTCTGGCTCAATGATCTGTGTCTATTTCCTCCTGGCACCTCAGGAAATTCACTATGTTACTGCCCTCATTTTGTTCTGTATCATCACTCACTCCCTTTCTGCATTTGAACATGTTCAAATAATAACCTTTCCCACTTTCATGTCTTCCAGCCATGACTCTCTTTCTCCTCATTCACAGCAGTCTGTCCCCTGCCAATCTCAGATCCCACATTTATTTATACAGCTATTAGGGGAAAACATTTTTTGTATTATGAAAAGAAAGCCAATACAATACGTAGTTTCAAAGCACACCATTTTATTACATAGACATCAATAGTGTCATCATACCACGTTCTAGTTCAAATCATAGTGTGCATATATATTATAAATAAATAAATATATATATACACAACACACACAAATAGGTTTGAAAATTTCCCAGAAAGTTCATTTTTCAGCTTACTATAAGCATAACTCTTTGTTTGCGAGTCTCTAAACACACCTGCACACCAATTAAATATATATATATATATATATACATACATACATATATATATATTTAAAATATGGTGTCTCATTTCTTTTCATCAAGGGAAGTGTCTTACTAAAACTATATTGTAGTCACTTTAAAATTCCTAGTTTATAATCAGTGTGTTGTGAAAAATAAGTTTTCAGCTACTTGAATGTCTTCTTACCTTCCCCCAATTATCTCAAGGATGTCCCCCCCTCTCCTCCACTACCACATAAATCACGCTGGCCAATCCCAGAAAACACTGTGCTGAACTAATTGCATTTAAGTATATATCTATATATGATGAGAATACACTGAGGACTATAAGGATAATTGTGATGAGATTGTTTCTCTTTTTAACTATGTCAAGGCAGAGTTGTGCCTATTTGTGTAAATTAATGTGTGAGTTTTATCCATTCAAAAGGCATAGCTTAGTGGTATTTCTTTATTGTACAAACATGTCTGTAGAGAAATGCAGCTGACAATTAATGTTTTAGTCTGTCAATATAAAATTGACTTAACTTGCATAAACGCAGTAGAACCTTGGACACACACAAAAAATCTGCACTTTATAGTTTTTCTGGGAAATGTCCCTCCTGCTTGTGGCATGAAACAAATGGTGAGAATGCTCATATGCTATTTGAGGTTGCACTTATTAGATGGTAAAATTATGCAAATGAGTTGGGAGATTTTAAAACCCTATCTTGAAGAGTTAGTTCACTTCAGCCAGAATTGTTTAAGAAGCCAGTTTTAATACATTAAATCATAATCATATTGCTATAAAGCTAAGAAGCTTCAGATTAACTTCATTGATGGTTATTTTTAAAACAACTGAAGTTCATAATCATGTGTATAAATTATAACATGTTCTCAGGTTGGATATTAAAGATTTTAACTTACCTGGAGTTCAGTAAACAACTCATTAAAATGATTTGAAAATTGATTAGGTTTGGGGAGTAATAAAATATACATAACATTGTGGGAGTTGTTGATTTAAAAATATTAGATACATTTGTCTGTTGCCAGAGATTATATTCTCATAAATATTCTTAAATATCATGCTATTGTCTTGCATCTACAGACTATTGTTTGTTATTGTAACATTCCATTATGGAAGAAAAAAATTGAATTTAGCCCTCTGAATGTCAGTTTATCTTTTTATTTTGCTTTACAGATCATTCTTTCAAATTATTTTGTATACAAATGTTTATATTACCTCCTTTTAATTGCCAAAAGAAAAGCAAACATCTAAATAATAGCAAAGCTAATTGTAACTTCATTTGATGATTAAATCATCTGTCATTTTGTATAATTTAATTGGATTGACAGGTGTTTGAAACACACACATATCATGTATAATCATGAGGGTTTTCATTTATAGGTATGGAAATATATGATTAGAAGTTATGTTTACAAATTAATCTTAATAATAATTATTACATAAACATAAGTATACTAAGATAACAAAAATGGATCTATGTTTATATTGCATTATTCTAATTACTCAGCTCCATAAATACCAGCAAGAATATTTACAAATGGCAGATATAATAAAAAGAAGAAAAATGGACATGTTTAGTAGAGATTAAACATGTTATTTTTGTGGGCAGATAAAAGTCTTGAGTAAACTCCTTCCTATACATATTGGAATATCCTTACCATAATTTCCTTTTTATTACTAACTACATTCATGTAGCTACAAATATATGCTCTATACATTTTCTCTATGTACAGTTATATATACATATACACAACGTACTTTATTCTCAGGATCATTAATGAACATGCAGATCAAGCTACACAGTATGATCAAAACATGTTTAATCTATACATGGAGCTCACTTACAAGTTTTCACTCTTGTGCAAAAATGCAAAAATATCAACAGATTAATCTTCTCTCTAAAAAATCCCTTTTTATGTTTTATGATTTTGCCATATACAAATAAATTATGAAATATATTTCATTCACAAATTGAAAATAAGTACAATGTTATTATAACAAGGCATTGTTGAGGTTTTTTTTTAAATTGTGGCATTCTTGAAGCCATCTTTCAAAACAAAGACATCAATAAAGTATTGTTATTTCTTGATGTCTCTATTTTTCAATTACTCATATGAAATATGGAATTACAAATCTAATACTCATGCTAGTCAAATAATGTTTGTAGAATGTGAACCTCACATTGGTTTATTATTATTATGGTTTCCTGAAACATCTTCATAGGAACACTGCATCTCTGTTGAAATGTCTAAACTAGAGCATTTCTGGAAAGTTTGTTTCTCCAGAGAAAAAGCTGGAGAATAAGAGAGGCAAAATCCAGGAAAAGTAATTTCAGTGGATGCTCAGGAGAGATAAAAGTAAATGCAAGAATTTTTTAAAATTTTATCTCCTGATCCTTTGGTAGATCTGTTTGCTTCATGAAACACCTTAAAATATTTTCGATTCTTTACAAAGCATTCTTATAGTCTTCCATTAAATATCAGCTGTGGTCTTCCATTGCTCATGTTGTCTGTCATTTCCTGTTAGGAAAATAATATGAGTTAACTAAAATGGAGAGTAAGGTATGGATTTATTTATTAGGTTAGCAAAACTGAAGTTACAAGCATGGAAAAACCTTTTTTGGGGTGCTGAGAGAAATCTCATGAACTGATACTATTGATGTATTTGAGGAAATAGAATTTCATGGCATCTAACTATAGCATATAATCATGCTGAAAGTAACAGTCTTTTGGACTGAAATCTTCTACTCACAAAATCAGTTCATTCTCTCTTCACACTCCTGATTTTGCCTTTTATTCACTCAACTCTATTTTGGAGGAAGTTAACTAGGAATAAAGTGATTAAGTGCCCAAGTTTTCCCAATATTCAGCTTCTGGGGAACATGTCATAAATATGCTAACACATTCTACAAGTAGAAGAGAAACATCTAGCCTTTGGACTAGAACTCACAAAGGGATCAATGCTTATTTATAATTATGTATCATTAGAAAATCAAAAACAGGAAAGACTGTGTTTGAGAGAGGATCTCACTACATATCCCAGGCTAGTCCCAATTTCTAGACCTTCTGTCTTAGCCTCCTGGGCATAAGGATTACATGTATGCACTGGGATGCCCAGCTGGAAAGTTCTTGTAACTAGTTTTTAATAGCACTATTATATAGTAAAATGGAAAGAAATCAGTGAAAGCTCATTGTATATTCAAGGGAACAATTATTAAGAAATTAACAAAGAAAAGTACATGAGAAGGCAATAACAATAAATAGGAAAAGAATAACATTTAAATCCCACTTGCAATTATAAAAAAACCATTAATAAAAATTAAAAGCTTTGAATTCATCATTTATGAAGTATTAGTCTTCCTTTAGGCAATAAAAGGTGATGAGATATGAGGCCCATTCATATTTATCATATTTAGTACACCATATAACTATGACAGCAAAATTATCTAACAATAGGTTGACAGCATCATTCCACACTTGAACAAGCCTATTTGCAAAAGAGCAGTTAAAATAAAAAAAAATCAAAATGTGTTTCAAGCAGAAATTGTTTTCTCAATTGTCTCATTCCCAGCTGTTTTTATGTTGTTTAGATTTGGAGATGCTCAGGCTGAAAATAGACTGGAATTATTGGATTGGTAAATTTGTTGCTAGGAAACTGATGGGAAGATAATCATAGATCATTCCCCTCAAATAATCATCAATGATATTTACACAAACATCTTTTGTTATTCATACTACTACCAGGAAAATTTCTTAATGGATACAGAAATAAACAAGTTATTTTCCTTCCTGTAAGAAATTTTGCCTTAAAAGATTAAGGTATATGTATTTTACTACAGGATTTAAAGAAAACTGGGCTTAAAATTACAAAAAAAAAATCAAAGAACTTTCTTGGTGCTGGTACTGGGGCTTGAACTTAGAACCTTGTACTTTTCTTCAGCTTCCTTGTTCAGGGCTGTCACTTGAACCAAGCCTCTAGTCCAGTATTTTCCTAGATAACTGGAAACAAAGTTTTGTGGAGTATTCTACTTGGACTGGCTTAGAACAAAAATGTATTAGTCTCAGCTCCAGAACAGGTACAATCATAGGCATAAGCCACCAGCACTACATTCCAAGAATTTTCTTAATTAAATTTTCTTAACTAAATTTATCCCAACATGGACAGCAAAATTACTCCTAGGATATAACAGTGGAAATTAGTTTTCAAATGGATGGTTCATACTGGTTTATTTGCAAATAGGCACGTCCTGCTAAACAAAAAGAGTGTCCTCTTAATTTGGGCTGGTCTAATCGTGGATTTGCACTCTGGACAAACGTCTAGTGAATGGAGCATGGTAACTACATGACTTACTGTATTTCCAACTTTACGATTCAAATAAACCAAGCTCATCAACAATTTTTTTCAGCAGTTGGAAATATGGAAATTAAAAATCTGTCATCTCAGATGATTTGACTGGAAGAAACATTCTATGCAGCTTTTTGTTGTTGTTGTTGGTCGTGGGGCTTGCACTCTGGGCCTGGACACTGTTCCTGAGCTCTTCAGCTCAAAGTAAAAGCTCTACCACTTGAGTCACAGCGCTACTTCCAGTTTTCAGATGGTAAATTGGAGATAAGGGTCTCATGGACTTTCTTGCCTGGGCTGGCTTTCAACTGTGATCCTCAGATCTCAGCCTCCTGAGTAGCTAGGATTACAGGTACGAGCCACCAGTGCCCGGCCAGATTTTTGTTTGTTTCTTTACTAGATTCGTGTAAAACATTGGCTATGTGTTCACACAATTGTGGCATGATAGAGATACATTGTTTTTATCCAGACTCATCTATTATTCAAAGTAAAACTCTGGTCTATGAATAATGATTTTTCAACAGAATTAGAATGTAGGGGAGACAAAAATAAGAGGAATTACGAATCATCCAAGCAGATTTTTGTTTGGATGCTTATAGGCAGGCTGAATATTTTAAATACTCAACCTTCTTTCAAGCTGCAAGACTCTGCCATGAAGGCTTATGTCAACTCTTCAAAGTAGCCTTTGGGAAAGAGATACTTTGAGGAGCGACATGACAACATCAGTCTAGACAGATGTGCTGGTGTCATGGCTTCCTAAAGGAGGTAGTGCTTTGTACAGCAACATCACAACAGGATAACTCCCTGGGAGTCAGCGTACCTTGTAGGTAACTCTGGTGTCGGGGGCACCACCGGGCAGCTGGGCAAGTCGGTTATTTCAATAGCCCTCAATCTCTGATGTAAATATAACAAGTATACAATAAATATTGCACAAACTTACAGACAAAAATTCAAACCATACTAGTATTATAAATAGAGCACAAACAGCCAGTAATCAAATATAGAATGATCATGTATTTTTATGACCTACCTCTTATCAGCTAGGTGTTTACATAATTAATTCTTTAGTTTTTGGAAGAACATGCATAGATCTGTTTAAAAATAGTTATAGATCTGTTTAAAATTGCTCTCTTGGGATAATTTTAGAACTTCTCCTCTCTTCTATAGATTATAAACAAAGCAACCACATATAAACTACATATTTTTTAGATTTCAAAATAAATTAAAAGAAAGTAGTACCTCTTGTTACTATTTATTTTACTCTGTGGCAGTACAATTTCACTTCCATCATATTCAACAAAATGTAATTTGGTCATCAGTGAGTTCATTTTACAGTGCAATCCAGTTTCTTTAATAGCTCCACCGGCAGACATTGAACTAAGAAATGCACAACAAAATGTAGTGGAAATACACATAGCTCTCATGCCATGTACAATTATTTTAAGTTTTTGCCTGAAATAATTATGCAAGGACCATTGTTTAAAATACAGGCGAAGCTATACAATTGTGCATGTGTCTAGATGAGACTTAAGTGAAGGTTTACAGGAATTGTAGTATTTGCACTGATAGACAAGACTTTCTGTAGCCTTATAAAAGAGCCCCTTTTGTACCCGAAGATCTGATTTACATAATCAAATGCATCTCCTTACAGGCATAGGGATGAGCTAGGAATTCATGTGATTTCTAAAGCTGGCATGAGACTGAATGGAGACTGTATTTGGTTTGTGAGTTTTGTCTCGGTCTAATACATCAGAATCCATATTTATAAGGTAGTCAATAGTTTATGAAATGCTATTTTAGGAAATGTGGTTTTGAATAGACAGAGAGGAGACGAAATTCTGTTGAAAATAGGTGCACCTATAAATGGCTGAGGAAAAAGAAAAACCCACGCAAAATAATGGAAAATGCTTTTCTTATCCCAATAGGGCCAACCTTATACAATCTTGCCCCTCCAAATTTTCATCTAAGCTTGTAAGCTGCTTCACCTAGACTGCAGTCTTCATCTCGGGACAGCAGCGGAGGCAAAGGCACAAAACTCACTTTCTCGGCCATCTCATGAGAATGATGCAGCGAGTGCTCCCGCTCTGAGAACATCCTCCGCTGTTCATAGCTGGCGAGGCGGCACGTGAGCCAGGAAGACAGCGTGCAGCCCCCGATTCCAATGCACGCCAGAGACATGGAGGCCAGATGCAGAGGGTACAGGGATGAGGTCTTCTTTGTGACTGCCCGAAGGAACTGAAAATTGAGGATGCCTCCAATGAGTCCACAGATACAACAGGCTGAAAAGAGGATCATCTAGTAAGGAAAAGAAAGGGGGCATTAATGTAGGGATGGTTAAAAAAAAAAAACCCACCCAGAACCCAATGCCCCAGTGCTGCCACATGTCAAGGATTGCTAAGCCACAAAACACAGAAGGTGCTGGGCGCCTGAAGCTCTCTCTTGTTAACCTAGATACTCTGGAGGCTGAGATGTGAAGACGCCAGTTAAAAATCAACCCAGGCAAGATAGTCCATAAGACTCTTATCTTCAATTAACTACCAAAAAATTAAAATAAAGCCAGAAATGGAGCTCTGGCTCAAGTAGTAGAGTTACAGCTTTAAGCAAAACAACAACAAAAACATTCAGTGACAGCATCCATGCCTTAAGTTCAAGTTCAGGACCAGCATACAGAGAGAGAGAGAGAGAGACAGAGACAGAGACAGAGACAGAGAGAGAGACAGAGACAGAGAGAGAGACAGAGAGAGACAGAGGGACAGAGAGAGACAGAGAGACATAGAGAGAGACAGAGAGAGACAGAGAGAGACAGAGAGAAGGTGTTCTTGGTGTTTCAAAGAGGTAAGAAGGGGGAGGCAGTGTTTTGGAAATTGAAGCTGGTGTAGTGGCTCATTTCTGTAATCACAGCTACTGGGAAGACAAAAGCAAGGTGATCATAGCTAGAGGCTAGCCTGGAGAAAGAAGATAGCAAGATATCACTTCAAAAACAAGCGGGAGTTGCTGGGAAGGTGGCTCAGCGGTAGAGTGCTTGCCTTGCATGCCAGAGGCCCTGGGTTCGATTCCTCATAAGCACCCCATAAGCAAAAAGAAAAAAGCCGGAAGTGGCGCTGTGGCTCAAGTGGTAGAGCTCTAACCTTGAGCTGAAGAGCTGAGGGACAGCACCCAGGCCCAGAGTTCAGACCCCACGACCAGACCCCCACCCCCCCAAAAAAAAAGGGGAATAAAGGTCCAACTACAGTCCCTTCTGGGGGGGTGGGGTGGAATGGGGGGATGGGGTGGGATGGGGGAGTAGAGGTAAGAAGATAACTGTTGGAGGTTAATTTCTGGCAAACACAGGAAGATCCTATCTACAAAGTAATTGAAAGCAATCAAGGCTGGAGATGTGGCTTAAGTAGTAGCATGCTCGCCTTGACAGTGCAAGTTCCTTAATTCAATCCAAATGAACGCCTCTGTCCCCCAGAATACAAAGGAAAATAAAGAAGTTGAAGTCAAGGTTATCTTCTGAACTCTGAAGAAAACACATCTTTTAGCTAGATTCAGATTAAAATATTTATTTAATAACTATTGTATGCTCCTATGCTAGGAACTGTAACAAATATGTCAGCTTTCTTAGTGCTCCTCTGAGAGAGATACTAATACATATTTTGAAAAAAGGAATAGTGATCAGGTAACATTGATCTTTAGGGATTTTCTGACCTAAATCCAATTCACCCTGTCAATCCTTCCCAAGTATCTAAATATCTTCTCATTGAATTGTCACTAGTTTTACGTATTTTTGAATATTTATAAGTTCCTATTGTTCAAACTCAGGAAATTTAGTTAAATCCTTTCTCCTGCTCCCTAAGTGTTTATTTCAATATCTATCTTCTAAAAGACCTATGAGCTGGGCTTCTATCTTACAAATCTTTTGTAACGTTCTGTGATACCACAATGAAATATACACAATAAGTATTCCAAAAATAAGTTTGTACTGAAGCTTTGATTTTTGATCTCATTGTTGGAAAGGCAAAGGTTTGTACTTACAGAGTTGTGCAGAATGAAGTGCAATGCTTTCTGCATAATAAATGCCCTGTAAGCACTTATTGTGAGAAACTCAATTGAATATTTTAAAAATTTTAATCATTTTGTTTTTGGGTAACAGGTTTAACTCATTCCTATAGTCTTCTAGGGTAATAGTAATTTAATTATCCAATCTTATTTCTATTCTCTGTAGTACAGTAAGCAATCACCTCTTCCCATGCATCCCCAACACCTGCTTGCTTGGGATGGAACCCAAGGCCTGATGAATGCTAGGCAAGTACTCTACCACTACACCTCTACTCCTAACCTTCCTTGTATATTAATGTACCCGTTCTCCCCACTCCTCCCCACTGTCTGTGCCCCTCAAGGATATTTTTAGTTCCTTGGAAACAATTTCCCATTTTCCTTGGACTCTTGCAAAATGCAACTCTCAACCTTTCCTGAAAGGCTTCCTAGCCTTCACAGATTAATTCCTTTACTATAGTTCCCCAGGGAAGACAGCTTTATAACTCACTTTAGCATTCACCTGTATGTTATAAGGTATTATTTGTTGTTTACAGTTGAGTTTAGCAAGTGCTTATTTAGCATCTGCTAGCCCTAATGAGGCAGCTGCTGACATTGCAGAAAAACAAATAGTTTATAATGATTTCCCTTGAAGGTATTGTGATCTTGCAAAAGCAAAGAGACAAAGAGTCAATATGACATTATAAATAGAGAGAGAGAGAAAGAGAGAGAGAGAGAGAGAATGCTAAATGGCTGGGAAAAAGGAACTTGGCCTAATCAGTGTTTAGAGGCTTTATTAGCAATATGCATCTCAGCTCAGTGCATAGAGTTCCTATGTAAATGGATGTATGAGTGAAAGAACCACAGGAATATTTCTATGGATAAATGAAATAGCAGAAGGAAGAAAGGTAATGATATGGTAGTTGTTTAATTTCTCCAACTTATTCCCCCATTACTTAATTGTATCTGTCTGAATACTTCCATCAGGGCTGAAAACCATTGATGGAGAAGTAAAATCTATTTTTTATTAGATTAAGTAAAATGCTGAAAATTGGCTACCAAATCATTCCCTCAAATCACAGCTCATAACTCACAATTTAAAGTAAAATTAACCAATTATGAATATAACTGACAGCTAGTATGCTGTTTCTTGAGTATACATTGAATAGTTTACACATTCTCAGAAAATATGAAGAAACATTATATTCTAGCCTTCAAATAATGAATTACTGTTAGTCCTAATTTACCCTCATGAGAAAATCTACATCTGTACAGTGCTATTCTCATTAATTCTTTAAAAGCATGGTACTTCATTAACATATGTTCTTAATTCACCTAAGAATTAGACATTAAATTTTGTATGCAAGTTCATAACCATATACAATTATTGAATTCCACCAGGCAGAAGGTTCTAGTTCTAGACTGATTGGAGACGATAGATTGCTTGAGGCTTACTGCCATCAATGGGATCCTTTCCATTAATGGAAAAGTATAGAAGATGCTATACCCTGGTACAGATAGACATAACTCACATCCATCTATAATTTCTAAAATCTTCAGGCCCTAAAAATTTAGAAGAGAATTAGAAAAACAGAACAGAAACATTATTATACTTCCTTCCTTCCTTTCTTTGATTCTTTGTTTCTTCTTTCATTTTTTCTTCCTTCCCCCTCCCTCCCTTCCTCCCTTCTCTTTCCCTCCCTACCCTTTCCTTTCCTTTCCCTCCTTTTCTTCCTTCCTTCCTTCCATCCATCTTTAAATAGACATCCATAAGGAATTTTGGTAGAGGAAAAATGTAGAAAGAGTGAAGGCCATGTCCAAAGAATGATAGAATCATAGATACCATCTAAACATATCCTCCAATATTTGGGGGAAGGGGTTTGATTTAAGTGGTAGAGTAGCTGCTTAGTACGGAAGAAGACAGGGTTCAATCCCTAGTACCGTGAAGGGAAAATAGCATGATTAAAGAAAGGAGTAAAGTGGAAATAACTGTAGTTCTCCTTGTTCTTGGCCTTGCTCCTATAGCAGGGTTCTCCCTTAACCACCCTTTTCCTTTCTAATGTCAGCAGTTACTTCCTGGAGGCCTTGTGTAGCATGGATTTTACCAGTTTGTAAAGGTTTATGATCTTTCCTCCAGGACTCAATAAAATAAGCCATGTTTTTTACTTCTTTGAAAACTCTCATAAAATGTCATGGAATGGCACTCTGCCACGCACGGGTTTCCTCTGGCCAATGCCGCAGTGAACAGGTGCATGCTCCCTAACACAGAAAACATCTGAACGCAGTTATGTGTGTACTCACAATAATAAAATTAAGCAAAATAAATCTCCAAGAATTAAATATATAACCATAGCAACTCTGCAATCTTGGTGCTTTGCAAAATTAGCTTCAGTCAAAGAAAGCCAGTAATCCTTAAGGCCAGTTTTATATTTAACCCAGCTAAGTTTCCCATTGACTCAGACTTTACCTTCAGTTCACTGAAGAGTTCAGGTGATTGCCTGGGAGGGTTTTAGTAGAAAATCAGGGAGACTTTCATCCACAGCAGAAATTCAAGTTAGCATTTTCATGTATTTAAAGAGCATCTCAAAGGGATTTTTTATGTTTTGTCATAGACTTTAATACTAGTTCTATTTGAAACAAAAAACCCAGGATATTCCAGTCTCTCTTTTATTCTAAATTAGTAACTTTCTGTGCAAGAGTAGTTGGTAGTCGTCAAGTTTGCTTTTGAACTCTTATATTTCAAACACTTCAATGCACAATACAAAAATGGCAAAAACTTACAAGAAGGAAAAACTTACGACAAGTCCTGATTTTTTTTTGGCGCACAATATTCCACAGACACCACAAAGAAGAAACTGCAAAGGAAAAAAGAAGACAATTTTTTTTATTTAAAGATAAGAGAACGCTTAGAACCTGGCCTACTATAATTCATTCATGACACTTGCTCCAGGGAAGCCCAAATGTTTTTACATTACCATCAAAACTGGGAAAGGAAAATACCTCATTCTAAAAGTGTAAGAGCTGAAAGTGTACACATACTTTATGAAAAAAAATGTTTGCAATGTCACTAAATGTAATTGTGGGATTTAACCAAACCTTAAATCAGTTTTGCCTAATTTAACATTAGGCAAAATTATGACATGAAGGACATTAGAACTTTGTCCATTCTAGTTTTCTTTCACTTCCTTCTTCTCCCATCCTGCTAAAGCTAAATAATCTAGCACCGATAAACACATAGGACATTAAATATGAGATGTTTCTACAGGTACATCATTCGTATCTCTCAAATGGAAATGGCAACTTCACTCTACCAGAAAGGACTCTAGCGGATATATGTCAAAAAATCCAAAGAGAGGAACTTATTAATGTCACAGGGTTTCATGTAAGCCAGAAAATTCATGACTTAACTGCTTTACGAAAGCAGTTACATCACATTATCTACCAATGATATAGACATTTTGATTATCATAAAATAGCTAGTTAAATTTGCATAGAAACGTATAAGGCCACTTGACTCTAAATTTGCACATATAACTGGCTTGGCCTAATTGTATAAATAATATATATATATATATATATATATATGAAAACTCACTTCCATTTGACTTTAAAAAGTTTGCAATTTCAAATAGGAACTAATAATATAACTGGCTTCAACTAAGTGTTTCAGGACTAGATATATTTTTAAATATATCAAAATATTTTATAGTTTATCTGAAATAATTTGCATATGAGAAGCAACAATAAAATTTGCTGAAAAATAATGAGTAAAAAAAACTTGGGCAACATAATTTTCCTTATAGAACAGCAAGATGAAAACTGGAAGAAAATGAGGGAAAGGTGACACTGTTAAAAAAGAAATATACTCAATACCTGACTGATGTAAACTGTAACCTCTCTGTAAACCATCTTTACAATAAAAATGAAAAAGCAAAACAAAAAAATGCAATAAAAGAGAGCAAGATGATTGTAGGCTAGGCAATGGTACAAAAAGACAAGGCACACAAGGAGGTATGGGAATTTGAAACATAATATGGATGACCTGCAAAATTAGTGAGGAAAGAATCAAGATCATTTATTCAGTCAATGAAATTGCTATATCTGTTCACCTTCTCTAACACATAAAGGTCACAGGAAAGACAACAGTTTATGAAAGTACATGTGCCACAATAGTTTGGGTAGTATAAAATCATGAAAAGATAGAAACCCACAGCCTTATGAAACTTGAAAACTTGCAAATACTTAAAATGTCCTATGAAGCCATTTCTGAGTGACTGTTTTCTCAGACCCTCTGTTACAGAAGTATAAACATTTTTTTCTTTTTTCTGTTGGTCATGGGGCTTGAATTCTGGGCCTGGGCGCTGTCTCTGAGCTCCTCAGCTCAAGGTGAGTGCTCTACCACTTGAGCCACAGCACCACTTCTGGGTTTCTGGTAGCTTATTGGAGATAAGAGTCTCATGAAGTTTCCTGCCCAGGCTGGCTTTGAACCATGATCCTCAGATCTCAGCCTCCTGAGTAGCTAGGATAACAGGCATGAGCCATCGATGCTCAGCCATCTTTGACTTCTTGTAGAGTCTTTCCTATTGATTCCATCTCATAAATTTCAAAGTTATTACATATAAATATATATATATGTACTTGCTTCTAATTATGTACTTAGTGCTCCAAGATTCAGATAAAAACTGAAACATGTCCTTCTCCTTACCTTTCTGTGTCTAATCCATTATTCAACCTGAGAGTCCATTCACACAGAATTCATTCTTGAGATATTATGAATGCAGTATAGTTTTGTGTTCTTTAGACCTGTCTATAAATATCATCAATATTTATTTGCAGTAAAATTCAAAGAACTACAGGAACATAAGCAAAGATTTCCATCCCAGCCACCTGTTTGAGGGGAGACAAAAATTGCTATTTCTTATTTTATCAATTGACTTGGAAGGAGCTAAGGAATAAGATTTCAGGGCCACTTATCTATTTTGGGGAAGAGAAAGGGAATAACAAGGGCCAAAGAGTAAACCAATGCAACAGCGATTCATACAAGACAGTATGTTGGAAATGAATGTTACAACTTGGGGAGGGAAGAGTGGGAGGGTAGGGAAAGTGAAAAAAACAAGGGAGAGGGTAACAATGTTTGACAAGAAATGTGCTCATTACCTTACTTATGTAATTGTAACCCCTTTGACATCATCCTTACAATAAAATAAAATAAAAAGATTTCAGGGCTGGGGAGGAGAAGGTCCAGTAGTAAGGAAATGAAGGAGTAGTTTTCCATTTTCCTTGGCTCTGGAGGGTAAAAACTAAGAGTTACTTTTGTTAGGGTACCCACGTTCTACATTCAACATTCCTTAGAGGAAATTTGAGAAAAAGACACATGTAACAGGAAGTATACAAAATAATGGATTTCTTAGTAAAATTTAAGAAATCTTGACTTAAATTTAGTCATTGCATACATAGAATTTAAAATTTTATTAAGAGTCTGAGTTAGTATGCTTCTAATATTATAATGAAATGCTTTTCAAAAGGAACTTTTAGTTCAAGCAGTGTACATTATATCTCCAAATCTAACCAGGAGTGTTCAGTGGACATCTGGTCACGTATAGCTGTTATCTTTGCCATTGTCATAGTTAATTTTTGATGTATTAAACCAATTTGAAAACAAATCATTGTATTATAGTCCAACAGTAAATGTCCTTATCTTAAAAGGGAATTTATAATATTTCAAAGTACCTTTTGTTGTTGTTCACCATAACTTTATCTAGAGTGCATAGAATTTATACTCATCATGAAATCATTTACCAAGTAAAATACAAATTTGCAGCCAGACACTATTGACTGACACTTGTAACTTGTTACTCAGGAAACTGAGGTCTGAGGATCCCAATTCAAAGACAGCTAGGGAAAAAATCTCTGTGAATGTTTTAATCTCCATGTAACCAGCAAAAAGCAAGAAGTGGAGGTGTAGGTCTAGTAATAAGAGTACCAGCCTTCAGAAATAAAGCCAAATGACATCGGTGCGGGGGGGGGGGGGGGGGGGAAGGGTTGAAAGGAGAAGGATTGGGATTGGGGGGGGGGGGGGAGGCTGGGAAGGGATGTGAAGGGTAAACAAAAGGAGGAGGCTGCAATGCTTGGTAAGAAATGTACGCATTATCCTGCCCATGTAATTGTAACCCCTCTGTACAGTATGTTCACAAATAAAATTAAAAAAAAGAAAAAGTTGAAGAAAAGTACTCTTGAAATGAGCATGTATATTTTACAAACGTGTATATTTATTAAAAATTCACAATAGTTCATGTTCCTGAAAAAAAAAGAAATAAAGCCAAATGAAAACATGCTCTGAATTCCAGTCCAAGTACCAATGCAACAACAACAACAAATAGTTAAAAGGAACTGTAGCCACTGTAGCTGCTGGTTCTGTATGTGTGTGTGTGTGTGTGTGTGTGTACACATACCATGAATTAAGGACACAATCTCACATGAGAAATAGAATTCTATTTCTCAGAAAATGATCTGTTTAAATCCAATGAAGTTTATATGCTTCACTTTTATTCTGAAGCATTGCCAGTATAGCCAGTACAACTATAAGAAATGAATTACTATACAATAAAATAAATTACATTAGTCCTCCAAATGAAATTGTATTGGACTCTAATCTAGACTAGAATAAATAGATAACTAAGATTTGATTTGTGGGATAAAATGGAGTTTTTATGGAAACAGTGTTCTCTGTTTCAGCATATTTCTTTTGTGAAGTTTTCTGCTGTATTGTCACCAAGTACTTATACAAAGGAGATTTCCGTTTTTTTTGTGTTCAGAGATGCAAAAATATAATTTCCACATGAACAAGACAAAACTGATAAATTGCAGAATGCCATCTTTTCGAGAACTTAAGAAACTAAATTCCATGAATATAGTACCTCAATTTAGGGATGGTCAAGTTCCTCCAAGGGAAATATGGAAGGGAGGAAGAAAATTGTGTCACCTGTCCCAAAGTGTGGCAGGAAAAACATTGTAGTCATGCTGCTATGTGTGTAAGTGTAGGTGTGTTATATGCTTGTATATGCACTGTGTGTGTTAGATATGTATGTACTGTGTGTGTTTGGAGAGATGTGCAGAATGCTGCTCTATCCTGAAAACCTTTCTTTTACAAAACAATAACATTAAGCCCCTGGCAAAGAAACAGCAAAACCTTCTATTTTAGAATGTAAGAAAACACACAATTTGGAAATAACAGAGGCTGAACTTTAAGCTATATTGTTCATCCAAGTAAGACTTCAAGAAAGACATCCATATATGGTCAACAGCATGCAGGTTGACAGAATTATATCCTTCACAGAGATCTGTTTCAAATCATCCAACCATGTGAATATGACTTCATAAGGCAAAAAGGCAAATGTGATTAAGTTAAGAGTATTGAGATGGAAGCCCATTGTGGAAATATTAAGTTTTTGTTGCTGATGGTCATGGGGCTTGAACTCCGGGCTTGGGTGCTGTCCCTGTGCTCTTCAGCTCAAGGTGAGCGTTCTACGGCTTGAGTCACAGTACGACTTCCGGTTTTCTAGTGGTTTATTGGAGATAAGAGTCTCATGGACTTTCTTGCCTGGGCTGGCTTTGAACTATGATCCTCAGATCTCAGCCTCCTGAGTAACTAGGATTACAGGCGTGAACCACTGGTGCCTGGCTATGAAATACTATATTTTAAAGGTAATTATATAAGTCTTTTAAGACAAAAGCAAGGAGAAAAGCATATAATGTTAGAAACATGAAGTTTATTATAGAGAACCAGCAGATAACGAAGTGTCCAATGAACAAACAAACAAGCAAGCCTATATTGATTAAGGTTTGTTGAAAGGCC